TAGTCTTTAAGGTGCCACCAGACTCCTTGTTGTTTTTGTAGATACAGACTAACACGGCTACCCCCTGATACTTGACACCATGCAAGGCTTTTTACAGTGAATGTGCATAAAGCACATGCACATTGCTGCTGTAGACATTCAGACCATTACCTTCCCAACCCCCCACAAAGTTGATCCTGGTCTCTTGTCATGCATTTGCAGATTTTTTCCATCTCCTGTACCTATGGTGTTCCACCCCTGCCTCCCCGCCCTTTCCCTGACAGTTCTTCTTCACACCTGTTTGTATCATTGTTCAACTCACCCTTGTGACTGCTCTTAATGTTGCACCACCAATTGTTCAGCAGTGGCCCCTCTTCAGTGGTGCCATCAGCATCTTCCTATCTTTTGCTGAGAGCTCCATTCATGTTAGAAAGTGATGTGGCTCTTGACCAGAGTGTTTCAAATCCACTAAGAGTCCTTAATTTAGATTAGAATCAAACATCTGACTTACTATTTCTAACGATTTCGTACTGCTTGGGTTCCTGCTCTTTGGTCTCAGCTCCCCTGCTGTGAGACAAACTGGAACTTTCCTAGTCCTCAAAAATTTTTGGACTTTTGAGACACAAGCAGGTCAGCCCCATGTTGTGCCCCCTTTACAATGTTACATTCCAGTTGCTGACTAGAAGAAAAGCAGATTACTCCCAAATAAATGGCCAAAGAGCATTTATTTAAGATAGGGTACCCTATTGGTTACAGTAGGAAAAGGCGGTGAGAAAATATGTAGTTTCTGAAACTGTTACTATCTTTCCCAACTCTGAGAAGACGGTGGGTGAGTAGTAATCCAATCAAATGATATTTTCAGAGAAGCATAATTACAGGTGAGTAATGCTCTTCTGTAAAGATACCTAATGATTACATTTCTATTTTTGGAGACTACAAATCCATAAATTCTCCTCTCATGGAAGAACAAAGCAACCATACAAGGCAGTTTCATGTTATATTTGGGGAGAAACATGGGGGCACATGGAGGGAAAACTTTTGATGAAAGTAAAGTCTCTCTATACCACCACACCCTAACTTCTGAAATATTTTCTCCTTAGCATATCAAAAGTAATGTGTGTTAAATTTACTTAGATTAGTTAATATGCAAATTCCTTGCCAATACTATGTTTGTAAATTTGTGTTTCACATAGCATAATGGAGTTTCATTTATGCATGTTAGAGGAAATTGACTTTTCCATATTGGTTGTAATGTAATTCCTTTTTTGTTTTAGAATATCTTTTTGCACATTCTGGATATGTCTAATCCCAAGGGAATTTGGGAGTTCGCTGAAAAATTCAAGACTGAACATAAGTTAAATGTCTTGGTAAGTTTGCAAGTTTAAATTGTACCTCTTTTGGAGTCTCTCATCTGTACCTCTCCATTCAATAGTCTAACCTCTCTAATTCTGCAGGCTTAATTTCTGTATAATCCTGCTGCAAAAATAATCCACCTAGTCCACTTCTCTGATCTTGTCCAGCCCCTTTTCATATACATAACTTTGATACAGAACACAAGAGAAATCTATCAAAGCTCCTTGTTGCAGCCTTCAAGGCCCTGCACAGCTTTGCTTCCGCATGCCTCTTGGCTCTCATTTCCTCTTGCTTCCTCTTTCACTCCACTGAAACAGCCTGGCGAATTCCCTTATTATTCTACTCCCATTCTCCTGTCTGATGATTGGTTGGCCCAGAGGAGACCAAAGGCAGAGATGATGTCTAAAGCCCTAGTTTTGCACCAACGTCCATATAGATGGATCCCGGCACAGAGCCCTTTTGACTTCAGTAGACCTTTGCATGGGTGCATGGATCTATCCAAATGGATGCAGTTGCAGAATCAGGGCCTAAGTTAGTGCAACTTACCTGGAAGGTGGTGTGTGTTTGTGTGGAAGGCGAGGGCAGAGTATAGAGGTAAGTGAGTAGTGCCTCTAACTTGAAACCTTTTCATGCCCTCTTGTTAGCTCTTTCTCTTGCTCCTCCTTATCCTTACTTCTGAGTTTGGCCCAAAGAGAAGGAGGATGTAAGCAATAAGGGGTGGCATGGAAGAAAGCAAAAAGATTAAAGAATAAGACACACAGACGCATCAAGATGTGTACATGTCTGCTGAGTGACTGTGATATCTTGTCATCCTTGTCCTTCCTATCCATTTCTGTTCATGTTTATATCTTGACTTTAGTAAAGCTTTTGATGCTATCTCACATGACCTTCTCATAAACACACTAGGGAAATACTACCTAGATGGAGCTACTATAAGGTGGGTGCATAACTGGTTGGAAAACTGTTCCCAGAGTAATTATCAGTGGTTCAGTCATGCTGGAAGACCATTACAAGTGGGGCTCCGCAGGGATCAGTTCTGGGTCCAGTTCTGTTCACTATCTTCATCAGTGATTTAGATAACAGCCTAGAGAGTACATTTATGAAGTTTGTGGACAATACCAAGCTGAGAGTGGTTGCAAGTGCTTTGGAGGATAGGATTATAATTCAAAATGATCTGGACAAACGGGAGAAATGGTCTGAAGTTAATAGGATGAAATTCCATAAGGACAAATGCAAAGTACTCCACTTAGGAAGGAATAATCAGTTGCACACATACAAAATGGGATTGACTGCCTAAGGAGGAGTACTGCGGAAAGGGATCTGTGGGTCATAGTGGATCACAAGCTAAATGAGTCAACATTGTAACGCTGTTGCAAAAGAAGTGAACATCATTCTGGGATGTATTAGCAGGAATGTTTTAAGCAAGACATGAGAAGAATTCTTCCGCTCTAGGCCTCAACTGGAGTATTGTGTCCAGTTCTGGGCACCACATATCAGGAAAGATGTGGACAAGTTGGAGAAAGTCCAGAGAAGAGCAAAAAAAATGATTAAGGGTCTAGAAAACATGACCTATGAAGGAAGATTGAAAAAAAATTAGGTTTGTTTGTTCTGGAAAAGAGAAGACTGAGAGGACATACATTTTCAAGTACATAAAAGGTTGTTACAAGGAGGAGGGAGAAAAATTGTTGCTCTTAACCTCTGAGGATGGGACGACAAGCAATGGGCTTAAATTGCAGCAAGGGCAGTTTAGGTTGGACATTAGGAAACACTTCCTAACTGTCAGGGTGGTTAAGCACTAGAATAAATTGCCTAGGGAGGTTGTGGAATCTACATTATTGGAGATTTTTAAGATCAGGTTAGACAAACACCTGTTAGGGATGGTCTAGATAATACTTAATTCTGCTTTGTTTGCAAGGGAGTGGACTAGATGACCTCTCGAGGTCCCTTCCAGTTCTATGATTCTATAACCTTCATTACTAGTGTCTTCTGGAATACAGCCCTTTGGGACAGGGGCTGTGTCTTACTGTTCAAGCACCTAGAACAATTGCTGGTGCCAATAGAGTGTGAGAATCACAAATGGAGTATTTGGGAAGGGCAGGTTGGGGGAGTAGCAGGAAATGAGCAGAGAAGAAGGTAGGGGCAGTTTTCTCTGGGGCCTTGGTGGGGAGGATGAGAAGCTTGAACTTGAGACAGAAGGTGAGATAAGCCAGTACGGGGGGAGTCACTGAGAAAACACACATTACCTGCACACCACTTGTTAGTTTTTAACCAAAACGTGGCAAAATGTTAATGACTTTTCACTGGTAAGAAAAATCAAACTTCAAATATATAAATGCATAGCTGTGATGATGTGGAGTCATTTGGATCTTTAAGATGAAACTGATAAACTACCATACATGCTTTTTTATTGTAATAGTTATGCTCTGTGAATCACACATTACTTCATAGTTTTTGGCCCTTTTGCGCGCACACTAGTAAGGCACCATGATGTCTGATGGCACTTATAATCTTGTTTGTTCAGTTAATTTTATCAGCCTGATTTCAATGAAATGTATTACACTTCCTTGTGAAGATGGTTTTCACACAGCAGCTTCACTGTAAGTGGCGGATTATGATAGCTGGAGTTGCAATTTGCACACCCCGGTGCATTGAAACAAGTGTGTGATTGTGTGTATGTGGCTTTTTTTTTAATACTGAGCTGTGTCTTGCAGATCAACAATGCAGGCTGCATGGTAAACAAGAGAGAACTAACAGAGGATGGACTTGAAAAGAACTTTGCTACAAATACCTTGGGTGAGTACAGCAGTCTTTAGATAAGAGTCTAGGGTACTCCCATGCATCTTTTTTTTTGTTTATAGAAAGGTATAGTCTCATGTAGTTTTGCAGGATATGTTTTCTTCTTGCATTGAGAGAGTAGGAGGATTAGACTTGTATTGCAAAAAATATATAACTTTTACAGAAGGCTTGTACTTCTCAGGTTTCTTCCATATGCAAGATATTCTCATATTGATCCCATTGTTTGTTCATTGCTCTGAGAATAGCATGTAGCAATTAAAGCTAGATAAACCATTTTGAAATTTTAGTGGAAAATTTTCCAATTGGCTCTGCTAATGATAGTCTGTGTAGTGCCTTTTTTTTGCAGGATCTGCAAGCTGCTCTAACAGCTGTCTTGGGGTTCAGATGGTTCTTACAACATTCAAGTGTGGTTTTTTTATTATAAAGATGACACATTGGTATTGTGGTAGCACCAAAAAGCTCCAGTTGACATCAGGGCCTCAATGATACAGAGCAGTACAAAAAATCCACACACATAAAAATAGGTAAAGGTTGGAGAGAAGGGATGCAACACACAGGCAGAGGGACTGGGTAATGCTTGGCAAAGGCCATTAATACATTATGGTGAATTGGTGGGGGGGGACGTAGGAGGGCGGACAAAGAGTGGGGCGAGGTGGAAGAGAGGGGGCACTGAGGGTGAGGGGCAGAAGAGGTCTGAGCAAGCAGGCAATCATCAGAGGGAAATGTCCAGATTTTAAATGAAGAAAGTCGTCATCACTGATGTTCAGAGGGCTGCAAAAATTACTCCCGCAAAAGGAAGCGTTGGATAGTAAGTGCTTTAGTGGCAGCTGGCAGGGACCATATTTGTTACTCTGTTTGTACAGAACCTAGCACTACAGGATCCTGGTCCCTGATTAGGGCTCCTAGGTGCTACAATCATACAAATAATGAATAATAAGCATCCCTGGTGGTTGACTCTGCCAGGAGTTCTGTGTCCCACCCTCCAAACCCCCGTCGGTAGGGAATGGAGTTGGGTAAGTTCTGGGCCACCCAGATAGGGTCACCCGCTCGGTTCTGGATTTAAGGGGTTGGAGGTAGCGAGCCCTGGCTGGGCCTTACTCTTAGCACTGTTGCTGCTCTGTTTCTCTGGCTCCTGCTTACGTTTTTGAAAATCAACATTTGGGCAGCAATGTCTCATACTTGACTGGCATGTCAATGAGATTTTTGGTTTTGTAAGTCTGATTACATTCATTTGGTTAACATTTTTCAAAAATATTGGAGCTGATGGAGGGAATGCATTTTTCTTCAGCTACACTTTCCATACTGTTTGTGCTTAAAACTCAAAGCAGGTTTTGTTATTTCTGCTTCAGATTTGCCCTGGATCTACTCTATAATAAAGAATAAAAGCACCTCTGACCTTTCTGAAGAAATTGTCTTTCAGTGAAACTAGTTTAAACCCCTTGCACTTTTTCAAACAGTTCAGTAATTCACTAGGATGTAGTGGCTCCAGGTACAAGCACACTGAAGCAAACACAGCTGTTTGAATGTGAAGTTACTTTTCATTTTTTTAAACCGCAAACTAATTGCCATAAAACACATTAGTGCATCAGCTAGTATAGATTTGTATCACACACAAGTAGGGTAAACTGCAAACTATAAGTCAACCATACAGCACAGATTCTAGTTAACATTTACAGTGCAGAATACAACTGTACATATGTCCAAGAGGCTGTGAATTATGGTGTCTGAGGGAACTGTAACTCTGAATTGCCTGTATTTTGTGGAAATTGGAACCATGCATCCATTCTTTTAGGAATTAGTAGTGTTTAAAACCTTGCCTTACTTGCAAGGCATCTCATCTATCTTCCCTTAGTGACCTGCTTCTGCCTTATCTCATCTGTCCCTCTTAGGTCAGGTCTAATGAAGCGGTCTACTGGTAATACCTATGTAATTGTGCAAGACTTTGGGACATGACAGGATTTAAACACTTTGCAACATTTTAGAGCCGAGTCAGTGTGCCAGATCTGATATCTAGATAACATGTACATCAGTTGTGGCATTGTCTGCCTTGGGGTCTAAAACGTTGTGAAGTCTTTAAATCCAGGTTAGAGACATTTCCCCTTCTCTTATTTTTTTAGAGTCCTGGACGTATTGCATAAAGGATACTAAAAAAATTTTTATTTCTAATTGAAAACAGGGCCTCTAAGGGCATGCATATTTATTTATATTTATATATACAGTATATATAAAAAATAAAAATATTGGCTACGGTAGAAAGAAAAGGTTCTGCACTATATTCCTTTTCTCTCTCCGTTCCTCATCGGAAGATTTTTTTTTTTTCTTCTCACCAAGTTGTTTTTAAGAAGTAAGACTTTAATTCTAATTCAGTTCATGTGCTGTACTTTGTTAGAAAATGTTAAGGCACAGCAGGTGTGTGAAGCTAAAGAATTACTATTCCTTAGTAAAGAGCTCTGAGTCACTGAAAGTGATCCTGAGGAGAATAGAGAAGTCCCCAAATTGTATTTATCTATAGTTTTTGTGCAGTGGTAGTCCAAGTAAGAACTTTCTAGTGTTTAATAAAAAAAAATAGAAAAGCAAACTGTTTTATGCTGGATACTGGGATGTTTGAAGTCTGTCTTTGCAGTGTAGTATCATGCCTGTCTATTACATAATCCAGCTTGTGATTGGCTTGCCAGACTTTTCCAGATTTGTATTGTTAATGTTAAACCTTTTCTGTTGAGGAAAATAGGGTAGTCCTGTAGCTCTTTATTTCTATAAATGTTCATGGCAGTTTCATGAACAAACACGACGTGATCCTTGCTGCAAAGACCTTTTGACTGAGGGGCCTGAATTCACATTTCATTGTGACTGTTCCTAAGTAAGGACTGATCATGTGAATACGAGTTTCTAGAATTGGCCCTACTTTTCTACATGAGTGAAAGCTGGCAGGGCAAAGGGAAATAGGGTGTGTCGGTGGACAGAGTGCACACATGCACACAATTGGGTTTTGTGTCTTGATGGCTTTTTAAAAAAAGTTTCTAAGCTAAAATCGTTGATTGTAAGCTTGTGGGCAGGGACCATGACTTCCTCTACGTTCATCTAGTACAGTGGAACTGTGGGCACTATCACAGTAGAAGTAAATACTGTGTGGTTCATTGTAGTTGTATAGCTGGTATTGCTCTTAATACCTCGCCCCTTGTTACCAGCTAGACCACAAAGAGTTAGTGCTCTGTTTACTGGAACTTAATTGAAGTAGAAGAATTGGAGAATGATCAATCTGTAGTGACTGCTGTGCAGCTATGTAGAATTAATACTGTAGTATAGAAACAGTACTTACATATGAGTGTTAAACTGAATGCAGCAATTAACAAGTCACGTTGATTTGCTGAGATTGTGTAGATGGTAGGGGGCAGTTCAAAATGGTTTCTTGTGTAGCAGCATATGTACACGGAGAACTCTTGTTGCTTTTGTCCTTTGTCTCAGATGTGGTTGAGCTTAAATCTCATCCTAGAGGTTGGTGTGGCCATTTTTGTCAAGGAGCTGCTGCAGTGATTTCTTCAGATGTGACATCTCGGCTTTCTAGTCAGCATTTGCTTTTTTGAAGCCAGCCACTGCAAGATGATTATCCCAGCTGACAGTGTTCAATCCATCTGTATAAAAGCTGTCAGTGGAGGCAGATGGATAGAGGACTCAGTACTGTTTGCTTGTGGGTGCATTAAAGATAATCTTTCACAGTTGAAACAAGGCCTGTAAAGTACTGGAACAAGAGAAGTTCTTTCTTCATTTTTACATGTCACATCTCTTCACTCCAATGTCAGAAAATAGTACATCTATTCATTTTTATTGGTACTTACTGGCAGAGGGAGCACTAAAACACACTGGGAGCTGAGAGGAGATGATCATAGAATACAGTACGTCTCCATTCCTCACTCCAACTGAACCTAAACCCTCTTGCTTCACAATCTTTTTTTTCTTTTTAATTTAATAGTTCAAGCCACATCCTCTTCCCAGTGTTCAGTCAAAATAATGGGTAGGGCATGGGGTGTATTCAGTCAAAATAATGGGTAGGGCATGGGGAAGGATCTTCCTCTCAGGCCCTAGAATGCAGCACAGCTCTTCAACGGTAACTACTCTAGCCTCCGTCGCAGTTTGCAAACCCCTTTCTCCCCGGTATGGGTCTGGCTAGTGAATCATGGGAGTCAGTGCTGTCTAGTGGATAGGGCGCTAGACTATTTGGACTCGGGAGATCCCAGATCTGTCATTGGTCTGCTGGGTGACATTGGGCAAGTCACTTCCTCTCTTTGTGCCTCCATTTCCACATTGGTAAAATGGAAATACTTGCCTGCTTTTGTAAAGTGCTTTGAGATCTACAGATGAAGTCTTGTATTAGTGTTGTTAATAATCCAGATACCTGCAAATCCACTGGCTGTATCACCTCCCTACATATCAGGGCAGAGAGAGCCCTTACTAAGCATAGCTTTGTGGTATAAAGGAAGTGGCGACCGGTGTCTTGTCTTTCGCACACGTTCCACGTTGTCTTTTCACTCCACTTTCTTGTGCTGGGCTGTCAGATTGGGCCCTTAAAGAACAGTGTACTAAAATCTGGAATTCTGATTTCCTGCTTGAGAGAGCTGGCCTGTGGCTGTCTCCTCATAGGGGACTGTATAAACAAGAGGCCTCAAAAAGATAAACAGTTCAAGGAAAATCTTCAGTATACTTAATTTAAAAATACTTGGCTGTGGCAAAAGCAAGCCATTTATTTTTTTTAACAATGAATTTACCAGATGAATGACCCATTGAAACCTGTATAAGCAAACAAGATTATTTTTGTTCCCACTTTTTCCCCCCACAGTTGAAATAACACTGTTGCCAATATGCTGCAAAGCATGGGCAAATGGGGAAAACTCCACTGAGTGTGGTGTTGGCTACCTGCCATTGTCTGAATGTTCGAGGATTAAAAACTTCACCAACAACTTAACTCTAATTGCCAAGTAGAACATCCAAAGAAAACTATTCCA